GATAGATGCCTCCCTTCGGGGGCCCCTTCCAGATCGTCGCCAGACAGTTCCGAGAGGGGAGCTGTTAGGATTGATTGTCGCAGTTGAATTTAGCGCTGGAGCTATGATTTACATTACAGATAACGAAGCAGTGATGATAGGATGGCACCAGCAGCGCTTTGATCGCCCTCAGGGCGAGAACTCTGATTTGTGGTCTAGGCTCGGGAAGTTGCGCACCAGTCGGAACTTTGATCAGATCACGGTTTTGCAGGTTTCATCCCACCAGTCTGCCAGCGAGCTGGCACAGTCGTCCCTTCTTTGGATGGCGATCGGGAATGAAGCAGCCGACGAGGTGGCGGGTTTGGCCGCGCAGGAGGCTCGTGTTCCTGCTGATTTCAGACACAAGGTCGCTCGCTCCGAACAGATGGCTAGACTTGTTCGCCGCCGTCTTTTGCGGGCCAACCTTGAGGCGATCGTTGAGGATAAACGTTCTGGCCCGCGCGTGATGGAAAAGAAGTCCCGCTGCCCTCCCCCTTCTGCTTCTGCTCTTGCCTTCTTCGCCGCCTCCCACTCGCTGTCCGAGGATGGAAAAAGCTGCCTGAGATGTCGTGGGAGCGCGTCTCAGGCGTCCTTGACAGAGTGGAGGCTGAGCCAGTGCTTTGAGCTAATTAAGCAGGATCAGTGTTTCTCTCGAGCGCCGAAGGGTCAGTGTGTGCATATAGGTGGACGTTGGACTCGTCCAAGTCACAACCTATTGTATAGCCATAAGTTGAATCTTTGGTTTTGTAGTTCGTGTGGTTTCTACGGGAGCCAACAGATGCGGGGTTTAATATCCGAGTGTCTGTGTTCCCCTACGCTTTCCCCCGAGACGCGTGGTAAGCTCACGCCGACCAGGGGAAGTTATATTGACAGAATTCACAAAGGCTTATGGCCTAAGTACTAAGCCTAATTCAACCTGAGCAGACGGCTCGGGTGGTGGTTGGGTTATGTTACTTCGCTTCGCGATCGGTCCTATCCTATCCTATCCTATCCTTTGTATTCAACTGACTTGCGGCTATCGGCTGCGCCCCCCCCTCTTCCTTCACGACGACTGCTGTGGCGGGCCGTTCGACGTGTTCGTTCTCGCGCTATAGGGTGCGTTCAACACTGACAGCTGCCCCCACGGGCCACTGCCGACGGGGTGGCTCCTTCGCGACAGGGACTCGTTTCACCGCAGTGACAGGCCTTGGCCTTAATACCCTCATGTCACCTCCTGGGGGTGAGGTGCACCTCTCACAACACTGCGTCTAGATTCCCACGGTGCATCGTGGGTTCTTAGTCCGTGTGGTACTGGCTGCAATAATTCCTGCCCGCGGTTCACTTAGGCCTTGTTCACGCGGACATGGGCCCGTCTCGCCCGTTTGGGCACTCACTTTGGATGGCTGGGGCCGCCGGCCTAAGGCCCGCCCCATACGCTCCACACGACGCACATCCGACGACTGGTGACCTTGCCGCGTGGCGTTTCCCCCCCACCAGGCAGGCGCCAACCGCTGGCTACATCACGCAATAGGGTGCGCGCGCTCATCGTGGCACTGGCAGGTCGGCCCACACGGGCTTCTTGCACCTGGGGCGCAGTCTGGCAGGGACGTGCTCACCGGTCTGGCGCCCCGTTTTTCGCCCACCGGCAGTACACAGCCGACGGCTGGTGATAACATGCTGGCCCACGTGACGTTCCCCCCTCGCGCATTGGTGTTTCTACTCGACTTCATGTCAAGTCCGCTGGTGCCTGACTCTGTGATGCCAGCTTCGAGCACATGAGGTGCTCCGTGAGTGAGGCCTTGCCCCCATTCTGCTCGCCTTCGTTGCACTTTCACGGGCGGGCGTGCCAGGGTTGCAGCTGCCCGCTGTGCCCTGCCCTTCGCCGTCCGGTCTGCCGGGTGCTGGCGCCACTGTGCGACGCCCCGCTGTCAGTCGTTGGCTGCCTTTCTGGAGCGGCTTAATGAGGTTCATTTTGTTCCTCGCATGTGCAGTCCGGCGTTGGCTTTTGGCCCGCTGGTAATTATCTTGCTTGCTGCCCCGAGCTTGTTTCGACCCGCTCTCTGGAATCGTCCTTGGAGCCGCAGATCAAAAAAATATCACCACCATTCCATTCAGAAACCTTGCCCATGAGAGGTGATAGAAAGCGGGCAAAGGGGGTGGCCTTAAAGGGCCTCTTCGGGCCATCCCTAGGGCCCGCGTGGGGGCGAGTGAAGGAAGAGGAGCATGAGGAAGACGACGACGACGACGGCAACCACGACGACGAGGAAATTGAGGAAGTGGAAAAACAACACGGTGAGAGCAAGGACGAGGACGAGGTCGAGGAGGAGGAGGAGGAGGAGGACCACGAGAAATTGCCTCATGGCGCCCTCTTGGGACTCCTTTGGGAGATCTTTGGGTTCTTTGGGGGGGCCTTGGGGCCCCTTGGGGCCCTCTTGGAACCCTCTTGGGAGCCCACTTGGGCTCCCTGAGTGGCCTCCTGGGGCCATCCTGGTGGCCATCGATCAACACGGGGGGGTCCCCGACGTGTGCCCCTCCCCGCCCCGTCCGGGCCATCAGCATCGCCTACTGGGGCCCTCTCGGGGGGGTTCGTGGGCCGATGTCGGGCGCTCCCGGGGCCGTCGGGGGGGCCCCCCCGGGGGCCTCTCTTGGGGCTCTCCTGGGGCCATTTTGGGGCCATCTCGAGGCCTCAGCAGCGCCTCGCGCGCGAAGAGTCAAGAGGTCAGCACTCCTGGATCTTCTGGAGGTGTTTTGGGATGTTCGTTGATTTTGTGTGTGGATTTTCTCGTGGATTTCCTCGTGGATTTTCGTGGATCTGTTGGAAGGACGTCGGCCCTTTTGGGAGGGGGGGTCCTTTCTGGGGGGCCTCAGGAGAGCACCTGGAGAGCTGGCGTGTGGCCCTCGCTGGGCCTCTTTGGAGGCATGGCGTAAGCTGTCTTGATGATGAGGAGGAGGAGGAGGAGGAGGAGGAGGAGGAGGAGGAGGAGGAGGAGGAGGAGGATCTTGGAGGCCATCTTGGAGCACCGGGAGCCCTCTGCGAGCCATCGTGAGCCATCTTGGGGCTCTAGCCCGTCGCGGCCCGCCGCAAAGACACCTCAGAGGGGGAGGGGGAGGGGGTACCCCCCCAAAGGGAAGAGGGTTTTTGGAACAGGAAAGAAGGAACTCGGTTGACTACCTTCGCCGAAAGGGCTGGTGATATGAACTGCACGTGGCAGGGACGGAAGATATATCCACCAACTTGGGGCACGCTCAAAGACGAACACGACCGGCATCGAGGGTGTAGGAGATGCATGATGAATGGAACGCGGACAGATGGGAGCGAACAGTCTGAATATGATTGTTGTTGAATCCTCAAGTTTAGAAGCTCTTACCAGAGACATACCAAACCCCTCCTCCACGCAAGGCGACTGTTCAAATGAGTTGTCTTTGCAGACGCACGCGTGAAGAGACACGCAACGCTCTTGCGCACGAGAGTGCTGGCACCTCGTGCAGTTGCCGGCCTCGCTGGGGGCCCCGAGGTCTTCTCCGGGCGCGCATGCCTCTCCGACTCTGCTGGACCTCCCCGGAGCCCGCGACACTGGTGACAGCTGCGCAGCCTGCCGCCTCCCAGGGAGCAGCGCGGCCCCCGACGCCGCCGCACCCCGCTGCGCAGCGCGCAGCCTCCCCGAGGGAGCCAGCGAGGCCGGCCTCGTCCGGGTGCGCGCGGCCCCCGGACTCCGCTGGACCTCCCGGGCGCCCACGGCGGTGGCGACCGCTGCGCAGGTCGCAGCCCCCCAGGGATCAGCGAGGTTCAGGAGGGAAAACACCACACAGACACAATTCATCGTCGATTCCCCAGAACATATGGGAAAATATGGGAAGTGGGGAGAAAGACAAACAACACGAAAATAGGTCAAAATATAGGGACTCCTGTTATTTGTGTGTATTCATGTGTGTGTATTTATCTGTGTGTCCCAGGGCCCCTTCAGAGGTCTCGTCTGGGCGCGCGTGGCCCCCGACTCCGCTGGACCTCGCCCCTTCCTTGTGCGCCCCGCCCGCGCCTGCTGCTGCGGCCGAGCTCCTGTGCTCTGGGCCCCCCTCCCGGAGTCCATACCCCTCGGTTGTTGGAAGTAGGTATTTTTGGATTCCCAGCTTCCAGTCTACTTTCAGCGCCCTCCTACCTCAACGGTCGAGCGGCTTCACGGTTCCCGGCCTCCTCAGTCCTCATGGGGGTGGACGGAACCCGATCTGTTTTCAACGCCTTCCTAGTTCGTGTTTCTACTGACCTCCTCCGACCGATGGGTAGGGTGCTTCCAGCGGGGGCAGCCCTGCGAGAATGCAGCGCAGCGGAGCGCAGCAGCAGCAACAGCAGCAGCAGCAGCAGCAGCAGCAAGAGCAGCAGCAGCAGCAGCAAGAGCAGCAGCAGCAGCAGCAGCAGCAGCGGCGGCGGCGGCGGCGGCAGCAGCAGCAGCAGCAGCAAGAGCAGCAGCAGCAGCGGATGCGGCGGCGGCGGCGGCAGCAGCGGCGGCGGCGGCAGCAGCAGCAGCAGCAGCCGGGGGTGGAGGCGGGGCCTCCCTGCTGCGGGCTGGCGGCCGCCGGCTTCGCTCTGTGGAGGGTGGAGCGAGGCAGGGTCGGCCTCGTCTGGCTGGTCGTCAGCCTGATCCTCCCCTCCTCATCCTCTTCCCCCTGCCCTCCCTCCTCCTCCTCCTCCTTCTCCCTCCTCCTCCCTCCCTCCCTCCCTCCCTCCCTCCCTCCCTCCCCCTCCCTCCCTCCCTCCTCCTCTTCCCCCTGCCCTCCTCCTGCGCCTCCTCCCTCCCTCCTCCTCCTCCTCCTCTCCTCCGCCTCCTCCTCTCCTCCTCCCTCCCTCCTCCTCCTCCTCCTCCTCCTCCTCCCTCCTCCTCCTCCTCCTCCTCCTCCTCCTCCTCCTCCTCCTCCTCCTCCTCCTCCTCCTCCTCCCCCTCCTCCTCATGCCACATCCCCCCGTCCTCCTCCTCCCCCCCCTCCCTCCTCTTCCGCCTGGCCCGAAGGACCCCGAGCCGGCCCCCGTCGACCTCAGGTCGGTCTCGGTGCGCTTCGAGGGCTCCGTGCCGACGGGCTGCCAGGCGCGCGGGGTGGGAGCACGGCGAGGGCAGGCTGACGTGCTGCGGTGGCTCGCGGGGCCTTCGTGGGCCGGTGGCTGCGGCGCGGGATTCTCGGGCCGGACGAAAGGGGGGGATTGGGAAAGGGGGGTTACGAAATCTGCTGCATGCAGCTGGTTTCGGCCCCAGCGAGGGGCCCATTCCTCGATACATGGCCGCCTCCGGCGCTGGGAGGCGCCGGGAAAATCAGCTACGTGAGCTTATTCTCATACCCCCCCTTTGCTATCCCCACCTTTCGCCCGGCCCGAGATTCAGAGAAGGAATAGGTAGCCATATCAAGCAGTGGCGAAGCGTCCCAGCTCGCCTATAGGCGTACCAAAGGATGTTCCGAGAACCTTCTGTGGTCTACAACAGATGTTCATAGGACATTTCTGGCTGAGACTGTTCTGTTTTAACGCATCGGGCGTATGTTCTAAGAACATTGTTTTTGTTCTTAGATGCCAGGACGGTCGGTCCCTGCTCAACCATTTCTCTACCCTTTGGCCGTTTTCCTCCTTTTGGGCCTCCAGTGCGGTCCTCGCCGCCACTGCTGGATTCGCCTCGAAACCCTGATCAGAACGCACCCCGGGAGAGGTCCGGAGAGTAGCAGTGTCGGTACCTTCTGGTTTCCCCAGGGATGTCGGTTTTTTGGGGGATCTCAAGACGCAGGATAGCAGCATCGAGCTCGGCACGCTTGAACCCCACGTTCCCTCGTCTGCGACAGCCGTTCGATGATCTTCGACTTCGTGCTTGCAGGAGCAAGCGCTGGTCGGCTGTGTCGGCAATGGGGGCACATTTATTTACGGTGGTCAATCTCTGCAACGCGCAGTCGCTCGCACTGCATCGCATTCAATGTATGTGTGCAGGCCCTTCTCCATTCTCTCCTCACCGCCATGGCGGGCACAGTCGACGATCGGCAACAGACGACGGACGACGACGACAGACGACGACGACCGTGGCGACGGCGGCGACGTTCAGCCAGAAGACAAGGGTCCTGGTGGAGAGAGATCTGCCCTGATCTCTTGTCCGCGATTCTAGACGCTTCGCGTGCGGCCATGAGCGCGCGAGCTCAATTAGTTTTCGCTCGTAGCCCGAGCTGACTTGTGACACCGCTGTGCGCCTTCGCCTACGGCTGCGACGAACAAGTGCTGCCATGAGCCTATCCATCGAAGAACAACAAACGACATACACATAAATTGTTGGTGGTCCGCGCGGATTTCTTGGATCTGCGCTGGGGCCCCCCTGGCGGCGCCTGCGGCGCCGCCCCTGGCGCGCTCCGCGCGCCAGGGAGGGGGGGGGTCCAGCGCGGATCTGAGAAATTCGCGAGGAGCGCCAAAAGTGAATGTTTACGGTAGGTTCGTGTCATGTCGACCGGCGGCTACAACGCCGCCAGTGTTCTACGTTGAACGCCGCCAGCGACCCAGAATCGGTCGATGTTGAACTGTCTGACGTTTCGGCAAAGGCCGATCGTTCAAGGTTGAACAACCCCCGCGGTGTCAGAAACCAACGCCGAAGTCGGCAAGACACGAAGCGGCCCTATGATTGTGTCCTTCTCATCCAGACACGAAGCCCAGGAGAATAGCCCAGACCGGGGATCTTCAGGAAGCATGCAGTGGCATAAACACATTGGGAGTCAGCCGCCGTGCCGCGTTTACCGGCCCCGATCTTGTTGTTTGGCCTGGAGTTGTTTGTTTGTTGCGGGTTCGACGCGACGACATCTTCGGCTGCAGCGTGGCGCCAGCCACAGAGGCCCCCTCGAAGCATCGGGCCTCCTCGAAACGTGGAGCTCGAACCGATCCGATACATCCAGGGGGAACACCAATCACAGCACGGGACGGTGTCAGTTCGTTTCCCTCGCTGGAGCCCGAAGCATGTAGGTATTTGTTGGAACTCTTTTGGGACGCTCTTGGGGCGCTCTTGGCGGTCGTCGGGGCCCTCTTGGAGCCCTTCAGTGCCACTATCTTAGAATTCCTTTGAGGCCTCAGAATCCTTTCATAAGCGAAGAGACGCGGAGGTCAACATTCATTGAGAACATATGGCGCGTTTGAGTGAGTTTAGCCTCTAATTAGCATCCTTCGATGGCTTCGAAGTCCTTCGGGGTTGTCTTGGAAGCACATCGTGGCCTCTTGGGGGGAAATCGGACGCCAGACTGGTCCAACTTAGCCCATCGTGGGCCATCTTGGAGGCCACATTCGGACATCTCAGGCCCTCTCGGATCCACCGTGGACGCAAACGAGCCACCTAAAGCCTCGCAGGGGCCCCCTCCGGACCAAGGGTAGGCCCTACCCGGTAGGGGGGTAGAGGAAGGGGGGAAGGGGTCAGGTTCCCAACGGGAACGGCGCAGCCTTCTCGCTGACTCCCACCCACGTTCCCACGGTACGAGTAGCACCCGAGATTCAAGCTGGGCAGAGGTCGCCATCGGACGGACGTCCGTTGGGAGGCCATGCGGATGCCAGACGTGTGCCTCCAGCGAGGCCCTCCGCGCGTGTGCGATGCGCAGCGCGTGCCACGTGTGCCAGGTTCCCCAGGGGCCGCAGCGTGCCAGGCGCGCCACATGCACCACGATCCAGATTTCGCCGCCACGAGCGCTAGATATAACTGTGAATCAGAAGGCAGGCGAAGGGTGGCACACCCGTGGCTGTGACCACGGAGCTCCGGGAAGCTGTTTTATTTTTTTTTTCCGGTCGGCAGCCCGTTTTTTTTTATCCCTCCCGTCCGGGAGGATGCAATGGGGAAGGGATCGACCTAACTATGACGTTTTTTGTTTCTGTTCCCTTGGGACTGACGACGACACAGACACAGACACAGACAAAGACAAATATAAAGACAAAGACAAAGACGAAGACAAAGACAAAGACAAAGACGACGACAGCGACTCCCACACGCCGAGGGGTCGGCGGAGTTTTGACAGGGATGGTGCAGGGGTGCTTGCATGGTTCCTGGGTGGCGGCCCGTCGAGTGGGTGAGCGGGCGTGTACGGATGCAGCGAAGTGAGAAGCCCTCCTCGCAGGAGAGAGAAGAAGGGATTCTGGAAGACTGGGCCCCCCTCGGACGTTCGGTCTGCCAGAGCCCTTCCCGGGCCCCGGGGCCGTCACGAGAATCCGCGCAGGAGGCAGCGCCGCTCCCGGGGGTACGCCCAGGGGCCCGGGACCCATGCCTCCCGGGACCCCTGCGGCTCCGGGCGGACGACGACGACGACCGAGGACCCCGGCGACCGAAGGCCGACGGCGACGCCCAACCGCTCGCCGACAGGGGCAGGCAGCGCGAGGGAGGAGGTGCCCAGGCCCGGCGTCGCTCGGCGGACACGTGCGCCTTGTGCTCCTCGGGGAGGGCCCCCCAGGCGCCTCCTGGGCCCGCCGGCAGCAAAGAGCACGCAGGAAGCAACCGACAAGATGCGCGAGGGATGGGCGGCCAGGCGCTGGGAGCAGCAGGCGGGAGGCATCGAGCCCCACTCTGATGAGCCTGTTCTCCACCACCACCACCATAAGGTGGAGGGGGAAAGGAGGAGGAGGAGGAGGAGGAGGAGGAGGAGGAGGAGGAGGAGCAGAACCCCCCCCTCCAACCTGTGGTGGTGGTGGTGGAAAACACGCCCACCACGCTCGCCCGTGCATCGCCGAGGAGGGCGCGGCGCGGCCCGGCCCCCCGCGCAGCGGGCGTGCGCGGCCCTGGCCGTCGAGTGCTCCTCGCAGGCCTCTGCTCGGCGGCGCGTGCCGCCGATCTCCGAGCTCGCTTTGCCTCCCTCCCTTTGGCTATGCCTATGCATATGCCTACGCCTCCCCCTAACTCCTATGCCTACGCCCATGCCTATGCCTATGCCTACGCCTGGTTGCTTGCTTGCTTGTTTGCTTGCGCGCTTGTGCGCTTGCTTGCTTGCGCGCTTGCTTGCGAGCTTGCTTGCTTGCTGAGTTTCGGATTCCAAGCATGCTTGATTCCTCTGATTCCTTGATTTGAGTCGTCTAATCTACTTGGAGTCAACGCTGGCTGATATTGAGGGAACGAACAATGACATAAACATAAAAGCTCGGAGGTCCGCGCGGATTCCTCGGATCCGCGCTGGACTCTCTGGCGGCGCCTCCAGCGCCGCTCTTGGCGTGCTCCGCGCGCCAGGTAGGGGGGTCCAGCCCCGATCCGAGAAATCCGCGCGGACCTCCGAGTTGTTATGCTTGTTCATTGTTCGCTCCCCCAGTTCTGCCCTGCTCGCCCGCAGGTGACCATCGACCTGAACGGTGAGCCGAGCGTGCTCCAGCCTGGAGGTGGTGCGCAGAGGGCGTTCGCGTCCCGGAAGAGGTCTCCCCTGCTGCGGCTCTGGCTGTGCCCCCGCCTCGTCCTGCGTGCGGCTCCTCCCCAGCCCCGCTGCCTCCTCTCCTTTCCACAAAAACACAATATGAAAATACTCTCCCACTTCCCCTGATGGCGTCCCGAAGATATCCCACACCCCCCCGCGTATTGTTTTTTTACACACAGGATTCCCGGGAAACGGGTTTTCGCTGGTGTTTTTTTTCAAAATGCTGCTCTCGCTGAGGCGCCGGCTTCATTTCTGCTCCCGAATCGTTCCGAATCGTGCTCCCGCTGCAGCGTGGGCCTCATTTTCGGATCGGTGTTTGGCCTCCGTCGTTCAGGATGGCGTTCTCGCCCCAGCGCGGGCCTCTTTCTCGCGCGCCCATCCGCCCGCCACCACCGCGCCGCACCAACCACCACCAGCCCCGCTGCCTCCTCTCCTTTCCACAAAAACACAATATGAAAATACTCTCCCACTTCCCCTGATGGCGTCCCGAAGATATCCCACACCCCCCCGCGTATTGTTTTTTTACACACAGGATTCCCGGGAAACGGGTTTTCGCTGGTGTTTTTTTTCAAAATGCTGCTCTCGCTGAGGCGCCGGCTTCATTTCTGCTCCCGAATCGTTCCGAATCGTGCTCCCGCTGCAGCGTGGGCCTCATTTTCGGATCGGTGTTTGGCCTCCGTCGTTCAGGATGGCGTTCTCGCCCCAGCGCGGCCTCTTTCTCGCGCGCCCATCCGCCCGCCACCACCGCGCCGCACCACCACCACCACCACCACCACCACCACCACCACCAGCACCACCACCACCA